CAGACCATTGTGTAAATAATGTATATAAAGCAGATACTTTGAGGGGACTTTCATTCATTCCTCCTCACCACTATGAGCTGAATAAAGAGCATGAAATCACTTTGCGACTCTGAGTTTATTTCATAACGGTTCAGGAAATACAGCTTAAGTAGGTTTTGCATTAAAATACAAGCCAAACTCATTTCTCCTGCCACCCTTAATACCATTTTTATATATGTTCTCAGGAACCTATCGCCAGTGTGCTAAACCCAAAGACCTTTTGATGCTCAGCCTTCCTTGCGTTTATCTCATCTGACTCTTCCCTCTACCCTCAACTTTGCTGCCCTCAAACATTCTCCTATTGTTCATGTTAATTAGCTGACGTGGATCCCAGACAAGGACAAAACACACTCCAGAGATCTTAGAAGATAATGTTATCTGGCACCTTCAACAGAAATGCTGGCAATTAGAGAAAGGTTCCCTTTTCCTCCCTCCTTCCCCTTGAGCCCATTAATGTATCACGAAGCTGAATAACTCTAATCAGAACAAAACTAGTAATTAATATAGTAAGTAAGCCGCCTATTATCTGTGTGTTTAATGGGCAGGTGCTGGAGCAGATGTGGTTGACTGCATCCTCGTTGCTATGGAAACCCAAGCATCCACTGCACAGATAAAGCACGCATCCTGGTCTAGAAAGCATCACCCGCTTGGTAGTGGGTTTGGGGCAGGGGGGGAATGGAATCCAGCACAGATCATTTGCCTTTAAGTGGAAGTGACATCTGTCAAGCTCCTCGGGTCCACAAAAAGTAGGGCTCAGTGCTCTCAGAGGTCCAGCGAATTTCAGCTGGGTGCTTTTAAGCCATCCAGGTTGCTTGCCATCTCTACATCTTGTGAGAGAAAGTTCCATTGTTTGGATCTGTGCTGGGTGAAAAGGTGTTTTCCGAAAACTTTTCTTTAAAAAAAAAAGACCATACCCACACTCTCCTAACAGATATCAGGTTGTTCATTCATATAAACGATTCTCATTAATTCGTACAAAGTATCCAAGTGTCCAGCATTATAATGTTCCAGGGGCAGCACAAAATTGTTCTTGTTGCTTTTAATCCATCGCCAATGGTAATTCCCCAGAAACAATACCGTACAAGCCATGCTGTTTGGTATAATCGTATCTGCAAAGATACTTTAGAGAGTTTGTGCAGTAAACTATGGGCCTTGCTTCCACAGGCGTCAGTGATGACCTACAACTTACCTCAGAGTTGTGTGCTGGAGAAAACACCATTCAGGTTTGTCATTGAACTGACTCAGCCCTGAGTGCTCACTGGAAGGACAGATCCTGAAGCTGAGGCTCCAATACTTTGGCCACCTCATGAGAAGAGAAGACTCCCTGGAAAAGACCCTGATGTTTGGAAAGATGGAGGGCACAAGGAGAAGGGGACGACAGAGGACAAGATGGTTGGACAGTGTTCTCGAAGCTACAAACATGAGTCTGACCAAACTGCAGGAGGCAGTGGAAGACAGGAGAGCCTGGCGTGCTCTGGTCCATGGGGTCACGAAGAGTCGGACACGACTAAACAACTAAACAACAACAGCAAAACATTTGTGGGAGACTCCCCTGAACCCTAAAAATTAATAAATGGTAAGATTTTGGTTATTTGGGATGTGAAGGGAGAAATGCAAGAGGAATTCCTCAGCTAGCCTATGCAAAATTAACTGGCTAATCTAGGCGCCATTAAGAAACAATGCAGGACCATTGGCACCAATTTGCAATGCAAGAAAACTGTCCTCCCCCCTACCTTTGGGTGTGAGCAGAGACTAGGGATTTAGAAAGTTGCCAGGGCAAACTGAGTGTGAAGTGACAGGAAAAGAGAGTTTTTAGCAGGGTGTTCTGGGAAGTAGGAGGAGGAAGAAAGACTGGCATCCATCTTGGGTAGGCTGGCTGAAGGCTGGGTGCACTGCTGTGGAGGACCAGCCCCTCTTGAAATGACCATGCTGTAAGATCTGGACTCTCTCCATGCAGACTGAATAGGTGAATCAACCATATTTCCTAAAGCTGTGGCAGTCTCTCCCGTGTCTCAGTTCTCCAAAGGAACGGCCTCGGCCCAGTATACCTGAAGGAGCATCTCCACCCCCATCGTTCTGCCCGGACACTGAAGTCCAGCGCCAAGGGCCTTCTGGTGGTTCCCTCGCTGCAAGAAGCCAAGTTACAGGGAACCAGGCAGAGGGCCTTCTCGGTAGTGGCACCCGCCCTGTGGAAGGCCCTCCCACCAGATGTCAAAGAGAAAAATAACTACCAAACTTTTAGAAGACATCTAAAGGCAGCCCTGTTTAGGGAAGCTTTTAATGTTTAATAGGTTATTGTATTTTAGTGTTTTGTTGGAAGCCGCCCAGAGTGGCTGGGGAAACCCAGCCAGATGGGCGGGGTATAAATAATAAATTATTAGTATATTATATCATTGACCCAGGGTGAGTGCCTGGAACCCCCAGGGATCTTGCAGAGAGTGGTGATGGCACACGACTTTTGTAACAATATCCTGCAGTATGCCAAGCAGCTACTCTCCAAGACTCTGGGCTCAGTCCCACTTCTGGTTTCCCCACTGCTTTCCTCTGGTGTAAACTCATTCATTGCCACTGACATGGAGCAAACATCGGGTTTTCTCTGGATTGACTTTTGCTTCCATTTAGCACTGTTGTAAACAAAAATCTGCCCTTTTCCCTTATGGGGTATCCAAGAGCCCATATAGAGTCCTTACATAGGTTCCCTATTGGTAGGAGAAAATAACAGAGGCCAACCAGAGAATATTGAGAAGCAAAGCAGCTAGTAAGCTTGATCTTTATTGATCTGTTGCAACAGGGTGCTCCCCTCACACACAGGAAAGGAGGAGGACCCAGAAAAATGGTGTGCAAGGGCTTATAAAGACTTTTGAAATTGCCACCCTGTAGATCAAGACCACCCCCAGAAACATCATACATACATCACAGAAAAGGCGGTCTAAACAGAAATTTAAATGTTGTTTATCTCTTGTCCTTGTTTATCTCCTGTCTGGCAGCTTACTTGATTGGATTTCCTGGGTAGCCTGGCCAGTCTTTTGTAATGATAAATACTTAATTCCTGGGCCAGGTCACAGGCTCACACCCTATTCAAACAGACATATCCTTAAGACAGGATTTGTGAAGGAAAAGACAATGGGGAGGCTTTTCCATTTTGACCTTGCAGAGAAAAGATTTGGTCAGTTTAGGAATCAAAATGGTTCCAGGTTGGCCTTCCTGTGCTGATCTATGTATGTGCTTGGTTGGTACACTTATGAACATTACCATATATCTAAGACCATAAAATTCCTATTACAGCACTAAAGTGCGGGTTCCCCAGGGGAAAGCAGTGTGACCAAGGCAAAACCACTTGGACCCATGCTGTCTAGGTGGATGACTGTTTGCTTCCCAAGAAACCTTGTTACATCCAAGAGGCTAGCCAGCCAAATAGCAAGACTCCATTGCATCAATACCCCCGGAATGAAAGGACATATATTAAGGTGAAGCACTGCCTCGATTATCTCTACAGTAATTCTTTTGTTGGGCTTTGGCAGCGCATGTTGCCGATGCAGCTTTGCGGTGGCTGGAGGAGATGGATGGCAGCTCTTCCCAAACGATGCGTGCCCATAAACAACCAGCCCAGCTATTAAAAGGAAGCATGTTTGTTAGAGATCGCTTGTCTTCTCCCCTGCGCTCAGTGCATTTTGCTTTGTTTCATTGAAAGGGATGCTACTATCCAACCCGTGTCTGCACAAAGCAACAAAGCTCACCCAATATATTTCCCCCTCCTCCTGTTCCTGCATTTTTCCTGACCCCCACCAACACAGAGAGAGATCCTCAGCAAATGTGCGGACTCCAAAATACCAAGCTGAACGACAGCCTCATCATTCAAGCAGTGCATGCAGATGGTTGACATTCTGAAAGGATACAACTTGAAGCCTCTCTGTATTATCTTGGGATTTAAAAGATCTTACTAGAGGGTAGTCAGATCGCTTCAGCTAAATGCACTGCAATGCAGTGGCATGTTGATGTGGAAAAGGCTGGCAGTCTTAACCTTTGAGAACAAGGAACGAAAACATGCTTTCAGCCATTTTATTCATTTATTTGCAAAATTCATATCCTGCCCCTGCCCCTCCCTCGCTAAGCAATCCCAAACCGTTTCATTCATAATGCATGTGCGGTCTGGTTCTTAGGAGTGAAATGGGTGTGTCGCTTTCCCACGCTGCTCACCAAGTTTATATCAGAAGGGGATGATGATGTTAATTGTCATGGCGCTATTGTCCTTCTCTGACCTTGAATTTGTTATTGAAGACTGAAACGCACACACACCATTCAGGGCATATGTGAGAGGGGACACAAGGACTCACAGGCAGGAACAGAAATCGGATTCCATCGGATTCCGAGGTGAACTTACTTAATTTGCACTTTCTAAAAAAATGCATGTGATCCAAAACACAGCCACCCTCCGAAATTCATTTGGAAAAACTTGCTTACTTCGTGTGGCGGCACTACACTTCGGAACTCCCTGTCTATTGAGATCAAGCAGGTGTATTCATTGTACTCTTTTTGGTACCTGCTGAAAAGGAGTTCCAAAGCACAGCTGCTGCCTCACTGAAGGATCAACTCTTTGCAAAGGGGTTGTTCAAACCCCCTTAAATACTATGTTGTAAACAAAATCTGCCCTTTTCTGCCCTTATGGGTAACCAAGAGCCCGTATAGAGTCCTTATGTGGGTTCCCTGTTGGTAGGAGAAAATAACAGAGGCCAACCAGAGAATATTGAGAAGCAAAGCAGCTAGTAAGCCTGATCTTTATTGATCTTTTACAACAGGGTGCTCCCCTCACACGCAGGAAAGGAGGACCCAGAACCCAGGTGCGCCTGCCCTTATATAGACATTTTAAATTCCCTGCCCTGGAGCTCAAGACCACCCCTCCATACATCATATATACATCACAGAAGGGGTGTAACCCAAGACCACCCCCCACAAACATCATACCTACATCACAGAAAAGGTGGTCTACAACAGAAATTTGAATGTTGTTTTTCCTGTCTGTCAGGTTATCTGATAATGCCTTATCTGATGGCCTTTCCTGGTAGTCTGTCACCCTTTGAGATGATGATTTCCCAATTCCTGAGACAATGGGAAGGCTCCCTGACCCCCCCCCCCTCCTTGCAGAGAAAACATTTGGTCAGTTTGGGAGTCAAAATGGTTTCAGGTTGGTCTTCCTGTGCTGATTATGTACGTGCTTGGTTGGTACATTTATGAACATTTATTTTATATATATAAGACCTTAAATTTTATTATTACAATTACAGTTGGACAAATTTCACAACTGCAGAATTTGGGAGCCAGCCAGACAAAAGCACCGCTGAAAATCCCCAAGCAAAGCCTGATGTGGAAGTCCCACCCACCTTAGGTAAGCCCTTAAACCACCTGACATTTGCTGAACATGTGATTAGAATACTCAGGAAATGCATTCTCCTCCTTTCCCTTGCTTATTCCCCGCCCCCCTTGCTTTTCCCATATAGAAAATAAGTCCTAACCTGAAGGTTTTCCTATTTGGTATGTGTACAGTCTGGAAAAAGTAGGAAAAAGAGGAAAGGGGAATTCCTTTTTCCTTTTGCAAACTCGAGAATGTGATGTAAAACTTAAGCAGAAGAAAAAGCTAATAAATATGGAGAAGTGAACATTTTAGCAGGCAGGGTTTAAAGCCCCATCATAGCATAGACTGATGTTGGGTACTCATAACACATTTGAAACATCTTTTGAGAAAGCACCGTCAAAGTGCAATAATAATGCTGTTTGACAATAGCAAAATGTGTCTCTCTGTGCAATTGAATCAATTACACCTTGATTATTGCTCAGATCTTTTGCTACCATATTTTGAACGTTGTGTTGGAAAATGCAAATAACCCTGTCTTAAGTGAAGGAACATTGTAAGGGAGGGGCGGGCATGGAAATCTCTGTGCACAAATTTTTATACAAGATTTTCCTGAAGCTCGGTATCTATTTCTCAACAGATGGAAATCTTTCCTCCTCCTCACACCTAAAAAAAGAAAAAAAAGAAAAAGAAATAAACGAAACCTAATTTTATAAGCACAGCAAGATCTTTTTCATTTCTCTGTGAAACTTTGTTTTGCAGAGATATTTCAAAGACCCCTCTTGGCCTGAGAAGAAGAGTTTTGAAGAGAGCAAAGACCACTAATCAAAAAGCGAAGCAGAAGGGAGTTTTCAAGCCCATCAAAATAAAAGATTGAAGTGAGGGAAGAGACGTGATTCTGGGTGCTTTCCTTGAAAAATAAGCTTGGGAGACATTCTATCAGATGCGGTTACGTCTACGCAACACCCTCACATTTGATTGCCATCTGGCAACCCGCAGATATCAGCTGCTATTACCTACGCAACAAGCATTGCTTGGGGATGCTAAAATTGACCTTCCGAGAAGAGAAACCTCCCATTTAGGAGATGACAGAAAGATGGAAGATTGCCCTTGCATCAAGTGTCATGGTTACTGGTAATGTAGTGTGAGCCTTTGTGAAAACGACTTGCTTTTTGGGTGCTTTTTATATGTATGTATATGGCTGTCACAGGAAAACTAGGGCTGGAGTCACATAGGGCCTACGTCTGGTTACCTTCTTCTAGTTTCCCACTGTGTTGGATGCTTGCATATGGTAGATTCACGCTACAGCAAAAGTAGGGAAGTGGTCTTGTAGCCTTATTAGACTTTACTGATTGGTAGGGTGAGCGTTGCTCCCAGAGCAGGGAGGAAGGAGTCAAATGACACCAAGGTTGGTTCAGAGAAAGAGTTTATTCTGCTCTCTGAATAGCAGAAGGCACTGCGTGATAGGTGCACAGCAAGCACAAAAGCAAGAGAAATTTCACACAGTATATATATCCTCCAGGCACCCTCGCCCCCCTTCCCCAGGAATCCAGCCTCGTACGTTATTACACGTATGTTGACATCCATGAACATAAACAGATGTTCCTGTATGTAAGTTGACATCCATGACCATAAACAGATGTTCCTGTTCCTGTACTTTTATCTTGGGGTTAGGAGGGTCACTCAACTATAGGAGTTTCCCTTGACGCCATCTCTATCTCCAGCTGTGGGGGCTGACAGACCCTGTCTTGCAGTCTGTGCATCAGTGTGTCAGGATATTTACAACCTTCAAGATAAGATAAGCGCCAGCTCTGCCGTCCCACCTCCACTTCGGAACTGACAAGGCCATCCATTAAGCATCACAGACTGATAAAGGAGAGGGCTTTGTTTATACAGCTGGGTTCCTGTTATACATTGGCTCAAGCTTTTTAGCTAATGAACCCTTGGAGAAGGAAAAATGGGGATTTTGGGGCCCGTTTCAGACTGACTGCACAGTCAGGCTTTAGATTTGGGAAACCCATTCCTTCAGTCTTGGCATTTTTTAATGCACAGATGGGCAACCTGAAGCTCTTAAGATGAACTCCAACTTCCCTCAGCCCATCAGAGTCTTGAGGATTATTTTTTTTTGTACCCAGGCTTTTGTATTGTTCCTGGTGCTCGGAAGGAGGCTGGGGGTGAAGAGCCTAGTTCTGCCCTGCTAAATACAAAACAAAGAAGAGAACACTTTGGAGGTGAAGTGGAAGTGGAGGAGAGATGGAGAGAGAGGTTGCTTTCGCCTACTTTGAGGTTGAAAGCATCCTTCAGGCATAATATCTGCATTCCTTGAATCCATTTGCAACCGGATTTTTACTAGTCTACAGATTATGGAGTGCTGCAGCATGTATGTAGCTCTCTGCCCTGCCTTGCCCCACCTTAATAAACAGCCAACCCTGATGCCCAAGAGGCAAATGTTCCTGGCATGTGAGAGACAGCCAGCGTGCACACAAGCCCCTCTATGGACTCTTCCTGTACGTCAGTGACAGGAAGGTCTAGGTTTGAGTCAGAGCCTGTAGCCAAACAGCCTAAGAGACTAGAGCGAAGCGGGTGCACGATGCCGGATGCTAAATCAACGCATCTGGAAATGCAACAGGCTGGAGCAAAATGTCTTAAATTGACAAGTCTTTTCGCCAAGCACTCCTCAACTGCTACTGTCGCCACCAGAGAAAGCTGCTTTGGAATTAAAAGTGAGGGGGTGAGATTCCTCAGACAAAGCAACAAGTAAAAGGATAATAAACTGCTCCTCCGGAACACAAATTAGAATTACAATATCAAAATAAAGAATATATGAAGAGCCTGCTGAATCAAGCCAATGGCCAATCTAATCCACCCTCCTGTTCTCACAAGTGACCAACTAGAAACCTGTGGGAAATCCACTAGAAAAACCCAGGGCATTTTTTTTCCCTTGCCTGCACACTGGGCAAGGAGAAATTTTCCACCTACTCTGTACTGGATTTTTAACAGTGCTGTTAAATAGCTGGATGTGGTTGTGTTGTAAACAAAATCTCTGCCCTTTTTCCCTTATGGGGTATCCAAGAGCCCATATAGAGTCCTTACATAGGTTCCCTATTGGTAGGAGAAATAACAGAGGACAACCAGAGAACATTGAGAAGCAAAGCAGCTAGTAAGCTTGATCTTTATTGATCTGTTGCAATAGGGTGCTCCCCTCACATGCAGGAAAGGAGGAGGAACCCAGAACAATGGCGCCCAAGGCCTTATATAGACATTTTGAAATTGACACCTGTAGATCAAAGACCTACAGCTATGGTTTTTCCAGTAGTGATGTATGGAAGTGAGAGCTGGACCATAAAGAAGGCTGATCACTGAAGAATTGATGCTTTTGAATTATGGTGCTGGAGGAGACTCTTGAGAGTCCCATGGACTGCAAGAAGATCAAACCTACCCATTCTTAAGGAAATCAGCCCTGAGTGCTCACTGGAAGGACTGATCCTGAAGCTGAGGCTTCAATACTTTGGCCGCCTCATGAGAAGAGAAGACTCCCTGGAAAAGACCCTGGTGTTGGGAAAGATGGAGGGCACAAGGAGAAGGGGACGGCAGAGGACGAGATGGTTGGACAGTGTTCTCGAAGCTACAAGCATGAGTCTGACCAAACTGTGGGAGGCAGTGGAAGACAGGAGTGCCTGGCGTGCTCTGGTCCATGAGGTCACGAAGAGTCGGACACGACTAAACGACTAAACAACATCGCCAGGGAGGCTCGCCTTGCTCACCTTCTTTAAGTATTGTTGTAAATCAGGAGGGGGGATCACCCTAAACCCCAGGAATGAATAAACGCTAGGATTTTGGGATAAGAATTATAAAGGTATATGGATTAAACTGTGCCAGACAGAGAATTCAGGAAATTCCTAGGCTGGTTTATGCAAACCAGCCTGGCCATTAAGGGAACAACAGAGGGCCGTTGCCAATGCAAGAGAATTTCCCTCCTTCCCTGAGGTGTGAACAGAGACAGGGGTTTGAAGGGTTGCCAAGGTGATGGAGTGGGGTGTTTTTTTGAGGAAGAAGGGGGAAGAAGGCCTGGGTTCCATCTTTGAAAGAGGCTGCCTGAAGGCAGTGGCGGAGGAACCCTCTCCAGCACCCGGGGCGGCACAGCCCGTACGGACTGCGCATGTGCAGCATCTCGCATGTGCACAGTCCGTATGGAATGCCGCTCATGCGCGGCAACCAAACAGACTGTGCATGTGCGGGGACCATACGGGATGCCGCACATGCACAGTCCGTACGGGCTGCCACTCGCACGCGGCGGCTGTACAGTCTGTCACTTGCACAGCGACCATACAGGCTGCCGCGCGAGCACCATCCCGCATGGACAGTGCACGAGGGCTGCAGCTCATACAGACTGTAAGTGAGCAGCACACATTCGGACTGCGTGTGCCCTCGGCTGCTCTGCAGATGGGGGGAGGCAGGGGCCGTATTGTCACCCCTCCTAGAGTGGCTCCTGGGGCTGCCTGCCCCCTCTGCCCCCTCTTCCTACACCCCTGCCTGAAGGTGTCTGCCCTGTTGCCTCTGGAAATGGGCATGCTGTAAGACCTAGACTTCCTCTATGCAGACTGAAGGTGTAAATAGGTGAATAAACCATATGTCTTAAAGCACGACAGTTTCTGCAGTGTCTTCTGTTCTCCAAAGGGGCACAGACCCTGTGTGTGTGGCAGGGACCTCATGGGTTCTTGGCACAGCTTGGCAGAGAGAGGCACCTGGCTTTCGTAACAAAATCTTTAGGTGCCAAGCAAAAACATTCCTCTGCTTCCAGAGCTTTAGCTAAGTGAACTATGGCTTTTTAAACTGTGGGGGCTATTGTTTGTGCTTCTTTTTGTTTTATTATGCATTTTGCCTTCTCATTTTGTATCATTATGTTGTGAACCATCCCATGATCTTCAGTTGAAGGGTATACAAATTTTAACAGCAACAACATGCCAAGGATTCTGATCTTAAATCAGTAGTCAAAATCACCAAGAAGAAGGGAGGGAAACGGTGGATTTAAATCAATTTTGGAATCCACATATTCCCATAGAAAGATGTTAAATCGCTACTGGATGCTATAATAAATAAAACATATTGGTTGAAAGGAAAGAGAGCGCTTTCTACAGTCCAGAAGCATAATCCAAGACCTTCGGCCATGCAAGCAGATGCCTTTTTGCACTGCAGAATTATATCTCCTTAGAAAACAGAGTTCTGCTTGGCTCTCTCTGTACACATCCTAGGGTTGTAATGAAGATCACTAGGTTGAAAGCTAATGCTGCAATTCTGTATGCCTGCTTAATTGAAGGCAAGTCCCATTAAACTTCTGTGTAAACAGGAAGCCATTTGTGCTATAAGCATCGGAGACGTTCTAGAATAAAAGGAAGGCATAGTAACTAGACAGAAGAGTGTTTATGACATGGAAAATAAAGTTCCGTACCATTTGGGAGGTAGAGCTTCAGTGGTAGAGGTTTGATGCAGAAGGTCCCAGGTTTATAAGAACATGAGAAGAGTCTGTTGGAACAGGCCAATGGCCCATCTCATGCAGAATCCTGTTCTCACAGTTGACAACCACAGTTGCCTCTCCCCTGCTGTAACTTCCAAGTTTCATCTTCATTGGATGCCTACAAGTTCTAGTGTTGTGAGAGAGAGGGGGGTCTTTTCTCTTGCCGCTTTCTACATGCCGTGCATAGTTCCCTCAGTTCCTATCATGTCATCCCTTACTTGCCTTTTCTCTAAGCTAGGTAAAGGTAAAGGGACCCCTGACCATTAGGTCCAGTCGCGGACGACTCTGGGGTTGTGGCGCTCATCTCGCTTTATTGGCTGAGGGAGCTGGCGTACAGCTTTCGGGTCATGTGGCCAGCATGACTAAGCCACTTCTGGCGAACCACAGCAGCGCTCAGAAATGCCGTTTACCTTCCCACTGGAGTGGTACCTATTTATCTACTTGCACTTTGACGTACTTTTGAACTGCTAGGTTGGCAGGAGCAGGGACTGAACAATGGGAGTTCACTCCATCGCAGGGATTCGAACCGCCAACCTTCTGATCCGCAAGTCCTAGGCTCTGTGGTTTAACATCCCAAATGCTTCAACCTTTCCCCATAGGAGAATCCAGGGTCACCAACTCTAGGGGGCAGCATGGGCTTTGGCCCCCTCAATATCTGTGGGCAGAGGACCGAGTCCCCACCCCAATATTGAAGGGGTTGCCATCCCCCGCTACGGCCTTGGCCCAGTATACCTGAAGGAGCGTCTCCACCCCCATATTCCATCACGGACACAGAGGTCCAGCTCTGAGGGCCTTCTGGAGGTTCCCTCACTGTGAGAAGTGAGGTTACAGGGAACCAGGCAGAGGGCCTTCTTGCTAGTAGCGCCCTCCCATCAGATGTCAAAGAAATAAACAACTACAGTGGTGCCTCAGGGTATGAATTTAATTTGTTCTGGAAGTCCGTTCTTAACCTGCAGTGGCCCCAGAAGCAGATTGCGTTCGTATCCTGGGGCAAATTTTGTAACCCGGAACACCTACTTCTGGGTTTTTGGAGTTCATAACCCGAAGCATCCATAAGCAGGACTGTTCGTAACCCAAGGTACCACTGTATCTGACTTTTAGAAGACATCTGAAGGCAGCCCTGTTTGTTGTTGTTGTTGTTGTTTAGTCATTTAGTCGTGTCCCACTCTTCGTGACCCCATGGACCAGAGCACACCAGACACTCCTGTCTTCCACTGCCTCCCGGAGTTTGGTCAAACTCATGCTGGTAGCTTCGAGAACACTATCCAACCATCTCGTCCTCTGTCGTCCCCTTCTCCTTGTGCCCTCCATCTTTCCCAACATCAGGGTCTTTTCCAGGTAGTCTTCTCTTCTCATGAGGTGGCCAAAGTATTGCAGCCTCAGCTTCAGGTTTTTAACATTTGATGTTTTATTGTGTTTTTAATATTCTGTTAGGAGTTGCCCAGGCTGGGGAAACCCAGCCAGATGGGCGAGGTATAAATAATATGTTGTTGTTGTTGTTACTGCTAGGCAAAGGCTCACTCATGAGATGGGGGCAGAACATGCAGAGAGTGAAAATCACCCTCTGCGCTCCCCAATCCCTGCCGCTGGTGCGATGGGCAGGAGCGGGACATGGGATGTGATTCTGGGCCCCCTCAATGTCAGCAAGTCAGCGCCCCTGGAAGAGTCACTCCACCCCCTTGATCATTTGGGTTGCATTTTCCCAACCCTTCTCCAACTCTACCATATCCTTTTTCAGATGCGGCAACCAGAACTGTACATAGTATTCCAAATGTGGTCACTCCATAGATCTGTACAGCAGCATTCTTCTATTGGCAGTTTTATTTTCCTTTCCTAATGATCCCTAGCATCAGTTTTACCCTTTTCACCGCTGCTGGACACCGGGCCAACATCTTCATCAGATATCTCCTATAACTCCAAGTTCTTGTTCCTGGTCCATCACTGCCAGTTCAGACCATAGCCATTCCACATTTCTTATGAGGATAATGGTTGAAATATACTCGGAGTCAAGTGTGGACTTCATGCTCTTTATTCAGCTCAGAGTAGTGAGGAATGGAAGTTCCCCCAAAATGTCTGCTTTATATACATTATTTCCACAATGGGCCCCACGTGATTGGCTAATTCTGGGATTCTCCTGTAGGCCAATCAGGTTGCGGATTCACTTCCACCCGGAGTTGGTTTGGGTGGCTCCTGCGGACCAATCAGACTGCTGCATTCTGGATCCTATTGTTCTAGGACCAATCAGACTGCTGCATTCTGGATCCTATTGTTCTAGGACCAATCAGACTGCTGCATTCTGGATCCTATTCACTCAGTACATAACAGTGGTCATAGAATCATAGAGTTGGAAGGAGCCACCAGGGTGATCTAGTCCAATCCCCTGCAATGTAGGAATCTTTTTGCCCAACGTGGGGCTCAGACCTACAACCAGGACTGTATATCTGAAATGAAGATATCTAGGCCTGATACGCATTACTCTAGACTTGTTTACACTGATCTGCATTCACCATTTTACTGCCCATTGACTCAGAGCGCTTTCGGAGCTCTTCACAATCTCTTTTAGTTCCAGTAACCCTAAATAATGTGGAATCATCAGCAAACTTTTCCTTCTTCTTCTTTGGCGATCCCTCGTAGCTGAGTAAGATTGTCTTCCATGAACACAGTCTTAACAGTGAGTCCGTAAGTGTCTGTGGAGGCCAATTCTGGATCCACACGTCCTTCCACAGTGGGGACATTGGTTTCTGGGCAGGAGTTGATCACGGTGTGGATTTGCCAAGCGTGCCTTCCTCTTAGCTCTGGGATCCCACAGCTAATTCTCCCCTGGTCTCCATGCTGGTCCAAATAGGACTAATTTAGCCAGCTAGCCCTGGTGATCATCTAATGTTTATTGGATGGATTTCCCCCCTAAATTGATTTTTGAATTCTGAATTTATTGTTATTCACATTTTATACTGTATTTTATGCTGTTTTTTGTTGCATCAATTAAGTGTTTTAATTTGTTGTTAGCCGCCCTGAGCCCGGTTTTCTGAAGGGCATGGTATAAATAAAAAATTATTATTATTATTATTATTATTATTATTATTATTATTATCAGCACGTTTCTCCCTTGCTTCCTGAATTCAAGTGTCTGTCAGCAAACCTGGCCACCTCCCTGTTCACTCCTAACTCTAAATCATTTATGAACAAGTAAAACAACACAAGTCCCTTGGGAGATGCCACGTTCTACATCTCTCCATTTGGAGAACTATTTATTCCCATTCACTACTTCCTGCAACTGAGCTAAGAGATAATTCTGCACATTGGCAGGAAATGGATCCTTGCTCCCAAAGAACTCACGGGGCTGGTTTATAGAACCAGCTTCCATACAACTGCCACCAGAAGGGGACCTCCGAAATCCTGTTGTTGTTTTAACATTGCCTAATTTGGCATTTTATCAGAGTCAGCAGAAATAAATAACTTTATAAAGTCTTCCTGCTACGGTGCATTGGTCAGCTAATCGCCCTGAATTTTGATCCCATTAGCCAGTACTTAGAATAGGAATGATCTGTGGTCATCCCTCACCCTAATTTCATGGGGGTGGCAAGGAGGAGGGAAGGTGGGGGAGAGAGAGAGAAAATGAGTGAAAATGAGTAGGAGTAGGAGTATTTATGAGACCTGAAGGTTCCCCGATGACTTATAACACTTTAAAAAAAATGGATATACTGTAAATAATGAAAAATCTGTTTCCGGACACAGTTCCAAGTGCTAGTTATGACCTATAAAGCCCTACAGGCCTTAGGTCCAGGCTATCTGAGAGACCATATTTCTTCATATGAAATATGGAGGTTTTCAGAGGAGGGCCTTTTCTCAGTCCTGCCACCCTCATAGGCAAACTTTGTGGAGATATAGGAAAGGGCCTTTTTGGTGGCAGCTCGCAGTCTCTAGAACTCCCTCTTTGGAGAAGCTAGACTGGCTCCCTCCATTTTCCCTAGCCATAATTTTTTAAACTGAAACTTTTCATCATACAATACAATAAAAGATGCTATAAAAAAGAAATTAATCTACATAAGGGAAAGGGAAAGGACCCCTGGACAGTTAAGTCCTGTCAAAGGCGACTGTGGGGTTGCAGTGCTCAACTCGCTTTCAGGCCGAGGGAGCCGGCATTTGTCCACAGACAGCTTTCCAGGTCATATGGCCAGCATGACTAAACCGCTTTTGGCGCAATGGAACACCGTGACGGAAACCAGAACGCACGGAAACGCCATTTACCTTCGCACCACAGCGGTACCTATTTATCTACTTGCACTGGCGTGCTTTCAAACTGCTAGCTTGGCAGGAGCTGGGACAGAGCAACGGGAGCTCACCCCATGGCGGGGATTCGAACCACCAACCTTCTGATTGGCAAGCCCGAGACTCGGTGCTTTAGACCACAGTGCCACCCACATCCCTATGCATCTAGCACTGTCCCTTCTTCAGTGTTCATGGAGATGCAGCCATTACAGTCAAGTCACTCACACACAAAACAAAATGGAGAATGTAATAAGATGCCTCCCATGTGACCAGAGTTAACCAATCACACGAGAGTTACTGGTGAACACACAGCAATGCATTTAAGCACTCCCAATTTCAGTAAATTAAATCACTGTACTTAACAACACCTCAGGATGCAAATCTAGAGATGGAGTCCATCTCATTATCAGCTTCAGAGAGAGGGACTTTTTTGTTGATGGAGAGGGCCAGATTACTCCTCTTGGCTGGCAAGTCTGCAGCCCATCCCATGTATACAGTGAAGTGAATGAAATCGCGTAAAATACCAGCGTCAGAGCTCACTCCTAAATGGCCTTTAGGCAGAAACAAATGTTTGCTAAATGCAGAGCAGCTTTTCCGCTGTCCATAAACAACAGCTGTAGCGTTAACTATCAGGGACACCTCAATGGATTTTAAATCATTCCTATTCTTTATCTTTCATAATGTTTTCTTATTACAGCCCATCCAATTCATCATGTAGCTAGCCTGAGACGGGACCTACAGGACACCAAAATGAATGCGTTATTAGATAATGGGATGAGCCTCTGTGTATATCTGAAATATGGAGAATGAATTCCCCGAGGGCGGTGATCTACAGCTACAACCCACAGCTAATTTATTTTAATGCATACACATGGTTCGAAATGTATGATATCCTGGCTGAACAAGGCAAGCTTAACCTTGACGAGGTGATTAGAATTTCAGAATCGGCTGCCCAGCTCAGGCCATGCCTGGGGGAAGTTTTGTATCAAAGGCGTTGTTAAAATAGGCAGCTCTGTGTAACATGGTCTCTACTCTTTGCGCAAATGATTAAAGCCGGGACTCCCTGCATGGCTGGCAGCTGGAAGGTGCTGGAAGCTGTTCTGCTTCCCAACTTTTGACTTTTTAAAAAATGCCAGGTGGGGCAATCAACTGATTAACTCTCTCACACTCTCTCTCTCTCTCTCTCTCTGTGTGTGTGTGTGTGTGTGTTTAAAGAAAAACACACCACTTACTTGCAAGTGGGTACTGCCAAGGACAGGGACGCAGGTGGCGCTGTGGTCTAAACTACAGAGCCTATGGCTTGCCGATCAGAAGGTTGGCGGTTTGAATCCCCGTGATGGGGTGAGCTCCCGTTGCTTGATCCCTGCTCCTGCCCACCTAGCAGTTCAAAAGCACGTCAAAGTGCAAGTAGATAAATAGGTACCACTCCGGCAGGAAGGTAAACGGCATTTCCGTGTGCTGCTCTGGTTTCGCCAGAAGCAGCTTAGTCATGCTGGCCACATGACCCAGAAGCTGCAGACAAATGCCAGCTCCCTCAGCCTATGGAGCGAGATGAGAGCACAACCCCAGAGTCGTCCGCGATTGGACCTAATGGTCAGGGGTCCCTTTACCTTCTACTGCCAAGGACAGATTAGAGTCTGAGAAACTCCAGCGGGAGATGAGCTAATAGCAAAAAGCATTCTGTCATTCTTTTAGCTGCCCCTGTATTATATGGTAGACTGAGCATATTGTGGTGCACTAGTGCAAGAAATGTCTGTCCAGGGCTGGCATCAACACTTGGCATCCCTGGACAGCAGACATGTCCCTAAGAATTTGAGGGAGCACAATGCTGATGTCTGCTTTGGGCCACCATTAAAAAATAAATTCTGGCCCAACACTAAAAGCAATGTCATTTGACTTGGTCTAGCTACCCATGTAATTTATCACAGTTATCTGACCCTAGCACCACTACAAGGTAGGGATGTACTAGGATTTTCATTTGGTCCACATTTTTTAAGGAGCTGGCCTGGTTTGCACTTCCTGTATGTCATATGTGACTTGGAACAAAACTCTCCTTCATTTTTCTCACTCTTCTTGAATTTTGCAATAAGTCCCCCCCTTATTATTATTATTATTATTAGCCTCCCTATGCCCACGTTTCAAGACATTTATAAAAACAGTGCTAAAATGTGTACCTAAAATGTGCCTATAAGGATCACATTTATATATATATATATATATATATATATATATATATATATATATATATCTCAAATGTATATCCTGCCCTTCCTCTCAGTGGAGTGCATGAGGGCAGCAAACATACTGGTAATTTTTAAAAATACAATTAAAAAGGAAAGGAAAGGAAAACACATTGGAAAATTTAAAAAGTCTATGAAACATATATTTTTTTAAGTACAACTTATTGTGTATATTCAAAATGCATTCCAAAACATGTATTGAGTTGGAATATGCTAGAATAAATTAAAATTTTCATGCACTTTTTGTGTGTTCATATCCATATATTGATAGATTGATAGATGATAGATAGATGATAGATAGATAGATAGATAGATAGGTAGGTAGATAGATAGATGATAGATGATAGATAGATAGATAGATAGATAGATAGACGATAGATAGATGATAGATAGATAGATAGATAGATAGATAGATAGATGATAGATAGATAGATAGATAGATGAATGAATAGATAGACAGCTAGATAGATGATAGATAGATAGATGATAGATAGATGATAGATAGATGATAGATAGATAGATAGATGATAGATAGATAGATAGATAGATAGAGAGATAGAGAGATAGAGAGATAGATAGATATAGATGATAGAGAGATTAGATAGATAGATAGATAGATAGATAGATAGATAGATAGATATAGATAGATAGATAGATAGATAGATAGATAGATAGATAGATAGATACATATAGATAGATAGATAGATAGATAGAGATAAACAGACAGACAGACAAGCAGGAAGTGGCTTGCCAAAGAACACTCTGCCCAGAGCCCCTTAATATATTCAGAGTTCATGTGCTGATTTGGCACCTGTATAGTAGGCATTCTTCAAAATATAGTAGGACCCTGTTGCCCTCCAGACATTTCTGGATGACAATTCTCATCATCCCTGAGCACTGGCCTTGCCGACTAGGGCTGATGGGGGTTGACATCCAACAACACTTGGAAGGGCACATGGTCCCCATCTCTGCATCACCTGCCATGAGCACATGTTCAAAACTCAATTACTCTAACTCTTTATCATGTCGGAATCCCTTGTAGACAACCACAGTGCCTGAAGACAGTCAGGTTGCGCATCCATAGCAGTTCCCAGAGGAGGAATGGCCACCAGGAGGAGGCACAGAGAGAAGAAATGCCATGGTGCATCTGCAGCAGCACAACTGGATGCCATCATCTGCTCCAGGTACGACAAAACATGTTTCTCCCATATCGGTCTCTACAGCCACAGCAGGCACTGTAACTCTCCAATGGCATGAACTTATCCATTGTCTCCGGAGGTCAGTGCTTTTCTTCTAGGAAAACATGGTGCCGGTACTCATAATGAAGTTGTTATAGTAAGTGCCACACTTACTATACCGAAGGGTACCAGTACTGTGTGCCCTTCAGTACCCCCACCCCCAGAAGAAGAAGAAAGCACTGCTGAAGATAGATGGATGCCAACAATATTACCTTTGAATGAATCTGGAGCCAGCCCTGAGTCTACACAAGAAAGTTGAATGTGGCCTCAATGTACAGATTCTACGTGCCACTTAATTCAAGTTCGAGAAAGTAGGGATAACAGCACCGTAGGGCTATTCCCACCAGGTTCATTGCTGTGTGTGCTGCAACAGGCTTAACACAAAACTCGAAATGTGTTGTATGCAGTGCTTTTTTCTGGGGGGGATGCAGGGGGACGTATACCCCTAAACATTTTGTGACTCTAAGTTTGGCCTCATTGAGAGGCAGTATTTCAATAGGAGTAGGAAAATGAGAGTGCCCCTAAACATTTTTTTAGGGGGGGAGCACTGGTTGTGTGCCTGCTGTTGGTTCTGTTTTAGGAAGAAGAAAGGTGTAGCAAACATAATTTTGGCTTGGGTGGAGCTCATTTGCAACAGAGCCTGAGGAGCTCAACAAAAGGAAAGGAGATGGCAGGAACCGTCAGGACTATTCAGCTCTGCACAGAGAATTGGACAGTTTCTGAGCTCTGGTGGAGAATTGTGACAAGAGTTAAGAATTTCACAGGAAAAAATGAAGACTTTCTTAAACACCAAAAAAGAAAAAGAGAAGCTAAAAAGGGAGATGCTCCCAATGTAAGCTTCACTGCTCTCCTGACAGGCCAGGAAGAAATCTTAAGTCTACCAACATGCTTGACTGGTCTTCCTGAATTTCAAGTGATACTAGCCTTCAAGAATAACAGTTAATGAAGAGAGCTGGCTTCCAAGTGAAAGGCAGATTTGGGTCGGGAGATTACACCCAGTGCCAAGATACATGGTCCTCTCAACTGATAGGATCTGTTGTAGCATACATTAGAGAAAATACACGTAAAACGTGTATTTTTTCTAATGTAAGCAGCCACAACAGACAGTATCAATCTAGAGAACCATGGGGCTTTGTGTAACTTCCACACGTGATGATAGCAAGTCAACCAGACTGTTGCTGTAATTGTGCTCCTTGAGGCACATATACACATCTCTGGTGGTAGTGTCCAGTTGTGTCTGCTGGTTGGGAGAAGACCTCTGAGGTAATTCTCAAGGGACAATAATAAAACAATAAAGTAAAACAACAAAACAAAGCACTAAAAGGAGTTAAATAAAATGGAAGAGAAGATAAAAACAAATGCTAAGGGTTGGTTATAGAGCAGAAACTTGCCTTGGAGTTGGCCTTAGAGCACAAAACCATGCTTCAAGAATTCAGCAGCCATCTTCCTCCAATAATAGCCTTTATCTCGCAATTGATTCCATTATCTCTCTTTGAAGGGGCAATACAAAATATATACTGTTAGTTTTCTTAATAATAGCTTCACAACTGTATACAGTGCATCTCTGGAGAATGTTAAAGGGTTTAAATCTTAATTGATGGCATTGCAATGCTTGCAAGAGCTGAAAAAGTAACACTTCCAGCTATATATAACAAGAGAGATGGCATCTTGTGAATTTTTTTATGTAATACGGAATAGTTTAACTGTGTTCTCCAATTGTCACACAAACCATGTGTAATCCCTTTCTCTAGCAAAGCCTCTGACTGAAGGAAACCTGTAGTCCACTAACATCTGCAATCTGGATCTTGATTGATCTGACATGTAAATTGTATATTCGCAATTTCATTGGGTGTGAAATGGGAACATTTTAACCATCTCAGAAGGAATAATCAGGGCAAAATGGAAAGTTCTAAATGGAAAGGAAAGGATGGTTAGTAAAGGCTTTGGATGCATATATTTATAAATATTCCAAGTGCTATAGTTAAAAAGAAAAACATACAGTGGTACCTCAGGTTAAGTACTTAATTCGTTCTGGAGGTCTGTTCTTAACCTGAATCTGTTCTTAACCTGAAGCACCACTTTAGCCAATGGGGCCTCCCGCTGCTGCCACGCCAACAGAGCACGATTTCTGTTCTCATCCTGAAGCAAAGTTCTTAACCTGAGGTACTATTTCTGGATTAGTGGAGTCTGTAACCTGAAGCGTACGTAACCTGAAGTGTCTGTAACCCGAGGTACCACTGTATTCACAGAGACTCACTGCAGTGTGCGTTCGGGAACCTTTTATTCTGCCAGGGGCCACATTCCTTTGAGAATAATCTTGTTAAGGGCCACAATTCAGTGGTGAATTGACCTGAGTGGAGTGCAGCCGTGAACAAGGAGATATGACAAAGTCGGTTTGGCCATTCTTTTCTTTCCTCTAACTTTCTGCCACCTCTTCTGTCTTCTCCCTTTCTTTTCCTCTTTCTGACACACGCTACGTCTGTCCCTCTCCCCCCCCCCATCCCAACACCCTTTATCTCTCTCTCTCTTGCACTTTCTAACACCCCCCTCACTCTCTCCCTAGCTATCTCTCCCAGTGTGAGCCAGTGTGGTGTAGTGGTTAAGAGTGGTAGACTCGTAATCTGGGGAACCGGGTTCGTGTCTCTGCTCCTCCACATGCAGCTGCTGGGTGACCTTGGGCTAGTCACACTTCTCTGAAGTCTCTCAGCCCCACTCACCTCACAGAGTGTTTGTTGTGGGGGAGGAAGGGAAAGGAGAATGTTAGCCACTTTGAGACTCCTTCGGGTAGTGATAAAGCGGGATATCAAATCCAAACTCTTCTTCTCTACCTAGTGGGCTGCCAAGAAAGGGATGGGCCTCTCTTGCCAGAGATCTGAACTGGTTGCCCGAAGAGGGCTTTGAAATTAGGCTGAGAGCCACATGCAACCCCAAGGCTGTAACCCCCTGCACTATGGTGGGCAGACTGCGCTAGATTCAGATTTCTGCTCAGTCTTGATGCTCAATGGGTTGTCCTGAGCTAGTTTCTGGACCCCACAGCCTAACCTACCTCGCAGGAGTTTTGTAGAAATTAAACAGAATGCTGGAAGTTGCCTTACCCAGTTGATCTACCTAGCCTAGCATTGCAGCTATGGTTTCCCATTCGTACCTGGAGATGCTGTGACGTTTTCTGTGAAAAGCATGCACACTGCTACCGAACATTGCAAGTTCCTCAGATGAAGGATGGGCTATGATAAATAAAGCAGAAGAGCACATCTCTGCCTGGGATGTTGGGGTGGGGGGAGGAGAGCCCAGAATTTATTCTCATTCACTTCGCTATCGTGAAAGCAATCCTTTTACTTATTCGCTGAAACCTGGCCTGCTTTCGAATTCTTTGTCAGAGTTTAAAATGGAAGTGGCAGGTATCTGTCCCCTCACGGCTCGATCGCGAGCAAAAACTGGCAATGCAGAAAGCGTTGTCATTCAAAGCTGTCATTTACCGAGATGCTTAGAGATGTTGCCGCGGCTATCAAGCGCATTGGACAACATGGCAAATGACAACGGGGGTGGGGTGGAAAAGGCCTCACTCGGAGGCCCACATCGCCATCTACTGGAGGCTACTGACATCGCACAGCCTGCCAGGGAGGAAAGAAGCAACGGTGCTCTTTTGTCTTGCTTGTAAAAAAATAAAATAACCGATGGGCTCAGAGATTGGCGGTGCTTAGGGGAGATACATACAAGAGGTATCTGAGAGTTGCCTCGTGAGAATGCAGATCTGCCTTCTCCTACAATATTGTCTGCTAGGGAGTGATGCAGAAGGTAAAGGTAAAGGGACCCCTGACCATTAGGTCCAGTCGTCACCGACTCTGGGGTTGCGCGCTCATCTCGCTCATCTCGCTCTATAGGCCAAGGGAGCCGGGTCATGTGGCCAGCATGACTAAGCTGCTTCTGGCAAACCAGAGCAGCACACGGAAACGCCGTTTACCTTCCTACCGGAGTGGTACCTATTTATCTACTTGCACTTTGACATGCTTTCAAACTGCTAGGTTGGCAGGAGCAGGGACCGAACAACGGGAGCTCACCCCGTCGCGGGGATTCGAACTGCTGACCTTCTGATTGGCAAGTCCTAGGCTCTGTGGTTTAACCCACAGCGCCACCCGCGTCCCTGATGCAGAAGGTATTTTCCTCCAATATCAGAGGTAGGATGCCTCTGGGTACCATTTGCTGGGAACACGAGAATTGTTGTGCTCATGTCTTGCTTCCTATGGGCATCTTTGACTGGCTACTGTGAGAGAAGGGTGCTGAACTAGGTAGGCCTTTGACCAGACCACTGGAGCTCTTCGTGTGTTTTAACTGAGGAGGACTGAAGGGTCCCGCCCTTGCCTCTTTCCACCTGGCTTGGGACTGGGCTTGACAGGCTTCACAAGGACTGTGGCTACTGCTTAGCACCAAGGACTCACTTTTAAACTGTTTTTAATTTTTATCTGCGTTGTTTTAAATGAGACCATCCTTGGCTGTGAGCCCTGGGAGACCTGCACCCTGCCTTGCTGGCCTTTTCCCATCTGGCCTGGGAGAGGGGAGTGCTGACTGACTCCAGCTACAAAAGCTGAGGTGGTTGGATAGATTTTGGGGCTGGAGTATTTTTGAGAGAGCTGTTGCTGTTATTTATGCTATTGTACAGTGGTACCTCAGGTTACAGACGCTTCAGGTTACAAACTCCGCTAACCCAGAAATAGTACCTCGGGTTGAGAACTTTGCTTCAGGATGAGAACAGAAATCGTGCGGCAGCGGCATGGCGGCAGCAGGAGATCCCATTAGCTAAAGTGGTACCTCAGGTTAAGAACAGTTTCAGGTTAAGAACGGACCTCCAGAACGAATTAAGTTCTTAACCCGAGGTACCACTGTATCTTTAATTTTAGATCTTATGATTTATGTGGAAATTGTTTCCATTAGGTTGTGTACTTTTTGATGTGTTCTATTTATTGTTTATGACTTCTGTTATGTTTGTAATTATGTAAATCTTGTCATGTTGTAAGCCGCCTTGAGCATAGTTTCAGCTATGGAAAGGCGGCATACAAAAAAAATGATGATGATGATTGCCCACACTGGTCCAGCAGTCTGCTCCATCAGATGGGTGGGTGCCATGTCTGGACTGTACAGATCAGAGTGGCTTCATGTGCCTTTGAGATCCCTCCACTGACTGAGAGATGTGTTCTTATATCACTAAGCTACAGGCTTTTTCTGTAGCAGAGCGCAATAAGAACATGGCAGCAAGGAGTGTTTAAGAAATAAAAAAACTCAAATGAAAATGGCCAGAAAAATAAAACTTCAATTGAACTATTCAATCAATCAATCAAATCTTTATTACAGTCATAGACCAACACAAGCAGGGTGGGGTACAATCATTTAAAATCTGTAAAACGTTCTGGAAAGCTAAAATTATTAAAACAGAAGGTACATATAAAAGACTATAAGAAGCTAAAAGAAGGATTAGGAGCATTAAACGGATGTGGAAGAGCATAAAACGTTGGTATACGAAAGGCTATGACTATCAATTTACAAAGCACTCTGATATGGGTGTTCATTAAATCTAGATTGTTGTACAGGTCATCAATCGATAGATTTTGAACGCTGCTATGCAGAACCTGACAACATTGTATGTTGTAGCAGGGTTAGTATCTGAAAGCAGCAGGGAGGTATAGAATTGTCCTGTGCACCCTGGCCTGGGAACATATGGAGTAGTGGGGAGATGAGGCTAATACAGTGGTACTTCGGGTTACGCACTTAATTCGTTCCAGAGGTCCATTCTTAACCTGAAACTGTTCTTAACCTCAAGTACCACTTTAGCTAATGAGGCCTCCTGCTGCTGCCACACCGCTGGCACACGATTTCTGTTTTCATCCTGAGGTAAAGTTCTTAACCTGAGGTACTACTTCTGGGTTAGCAGAGTCTGTAACCTGAAGTAACCCAAGGTGTTTGTAACCTGAGGTACCACTGTACAGATGTCTCTATAATATAGGCACTGGAGAAGCACACGCTCTATTGTTTCTGTTTGACTAGAATCACAGGGGCATTGTCTCTCTGAGTAAGCAATCTTCCTATATCGACCTTCAATGACAGCCAAGGGGAGGGCATGACATTGTGCCAGGGTAAAGGCCCTCTAATGCTTAGGGACTTTGAGTTTAGTTAGATATGCCATGGGGGAGGCAGAGTACCTGATGGATTCATTGGCAATAAAAGTTGGGGTCCTGGCTAGATCCAGTTGGTGTTCTGTGTCTGCTACATGTTGTTTAATGAGTGCTTTGGCCTGATCATCTCCCATGCCGGGTAGAAGACCTGGAAGTAGAAGACCCAGGGGTGAGATTTTAGTTGCCACTACCTGTTTCCACATGGATTGGAAGTCATCACTCATAGTTAGTGGGGCAAGGCCAAGGAAACTACTCATAAAATGGTTGTAGCCATGTTAATCCATTGGGATAACAAGCAAACAAGCAAATTCAAGATACTGACTGATATTAAAAAGGTAAAGGTAAAGGATCCCTGATAGTTAAGTCCAGTCGCAGACGACTCTGGGGTTGCGGCACTCATCTTGCTATACAGGCCAAGGGAGCCGGCGTTTGTCCGAAGACAGTTTTTTCGGGTCATGTGGCCAGCATGACTAAGCCGCTTCTGGCACAACGGAACACCAAAACCAGAGCAGCGCACAGAAACACTGTTTACCTTCCCACCAGAGCGGTACCTATTTATCTACTTGCACTTTTTGGCATGCTTTCGAACTGCTAGGTTGGCAAGAGCTGGGACCGAGCAACAGGAGCTCACCCAGTCGCGGGGATTCGAACTGCTGACCTTCTGATCGGCGAGCCCAAGAGGCTCAGTGGTTTAGACCACAGCGCCACCTGCATTCCTTATGGATATTAGGAATGATCAAAAGTTGCAAAATAGGTAGAAAGCTTTGCATTATTATTATTATTAGTTTTATTTCCCAGTCGTGACCAGGGCAGGTTACGGTTACATAAAATACAGCATTAGAAACTGTTCATAGGAAATTACAATCACAACTTAAGTGTCTCCTAAACACATCTCTCTCAAGGGTCAAAGATATTCATCTTCAGCATATGAATGTTGAAGTTGCCAGATGCACCTCTGTCACGAAAAAGAAGAAGAAGAAGAGGAGGAGGAGGAGGAGTTGGAAGAGGAGGAGGAGTTTGGATTTGATATCCCTCTTTATCACTACCCAAAGGAGCCTCAAAGCGGCTAACATTCTGCTTTCCCTTCCTCCCCCACAACAAACACTCTGTGAGGTGAGTGGGGCTGGGAGACTTCAAAGAAGTGTGACTAGCCCAAGTTCACCCAGCAGCTGCATGTGGAGGAGCGGTTCACCAGATTACGAGCCCACCGCTCTTAACCACTACACCACAACTTAGGGGCTGCCACAAAGAAGGCCTCCTTCTGATGTGACATTCGCCAACCAGGTCCATGCAGTCAATGCTGGTCCATGTGGCCTCTCCTGATGCTGCGTAGCCCAGGGCAACATCCCCCCAGGCTGCACCGCATCACATGACTCGGTGTGGCCAGGGTGACATTCCACTGGACCATGCAGCAACAGGAGATGCCCCGTGGCCGGGGGAAACTTCTCACCAGGCTACACCATGCTGGTAGACACCACACGGCCTGGGGCGAATTACTGCCAGGCCTCCTCGGCCCCCTCAAGATTGGGGGGGCTGAGCCCCATACCCATGGACATTGGGAGGCTGTAGAGCCCTCAGCCCCATGGAACTGGAGCTCCTGCCAGAAGGATTGTTGTTGTTGTTTAGTCGTTTAGTCGTGTCCGACTCTTCGTGACCCCATGGACCAGAGCACGCCAGGCACTTCTGTCTTCCACTGCCTCCCGCAGTTTGGTCAAACTCATGCTGGTAGCTTCGAGAACACTGTCCAACCATCTCGTCCTCTGTTGTCCCCTTCTCCTTGTGCCCTCCATCTTTCCCAACATCAGGGTCTTTTCCAGGGAGTCTTCTCTTCTCATGAGGTGGCCAAAGGATTGGAGCCTCAGCTTCAGGATCTGTCCTTCCAGTGAGCACTCAGGGCTGCTTTCCTCCAGAATGGATAGGTTTGATCTTCTTGCAGTCCAAGGGACTCTCAAGAGTCTCCTCCAGCACCATAATTCAAAAGCATCAATTCTTCAGCAGCCAGAAGGATTACAGGAGCAAGATAATGGCAAAATAAATAGGAAGCATTGGGTGAGAGAAGAAATCTGTTTGAACTTGGCACGCCAAACTGCATGTGGTACCGAAGCCAAGGTTTGGCTTCCCAAGAAATCCACTCTCTTTTATTACCAAAATAAAATCTAAAAAATGTGCACCTCTTTCTAGCCTTCATCCTTGCAAACATTTCTCTAACAGCGTGTGAGCAGTGCCCGGGTGAACGAAACAAAACTCAGCGCACAGTAAGATTCATCATTCCGTTGTGCTTTATTTGTGTGCCGTATACCCGCACTGTGCCTGTAATTTTAGGCGGAGAGGGGTTTGGCAAGTAGAGACTGGCATTTGCTGAAGAACAAACCCCAGCAACTTTTGGCAAGTGCATTTTTTCCCTTTCCTTTTTCTCTTCCTAACACAGGTGCCTCAAGGAACAAGAGGCCAAACACGCTTGCGGCGCAATCAGAAATAATGTGTGCATAACGCTGGCACTGGCCTCTGGTTCCTTTCAAAGGAAGTACCATGCTGGATTGAGATGGGAGGACTTCCAGCCTCCTAATAAGATGTTAAAGCCTTCTAAGCTTTCCCCATCAATAGATTAGTTCACCCCCCTCCCTTTTCTTCAAAGCACCTCGCATGTTAAAATCCTCCCAATCTAAATTGACCAAGTCAAGTGCACTGCTAGAGCATATCAATAGCAATTGGGAAACTTGGAAGCAGATTTCTGTGGGAGTTGCTATAATAGGACTTTCACATACAAATCCCATTCAGTAGTCCTGTTCTGAATGCCTCCCTTGATGTGAAAAGCAGGGCCCTCAGTCACCACCACCAACACTTTTTAAGTCTTTTTAAGAAAGAAGCTGCTCATATCTCAAATAAATAAATGAATAAATTTGGCTTGTCTGCTAAGAATGAGTCTCGCTGGGGTGCAGCTGGGAGGATTCCATTTTCAGCAATAAGTCAACAGCAAGGCGTTCATTGAGAATTCACCTTTCTTTGTTGCATCCCATAGAGCTGCGGAACAATGTCTTTCCTGCATAGATAGACAGAGGAAAGCCTTTTGTTTGTGGTCTTCATCATCTAGACAGTATTCTTAAATATTAGTGGCTAGGGACTGGGAGAGAAATTATTATTTGTATTGCAACATACCTGATTTGCTCTTTCCAAAACAAAACTCATGCCCAAATGCAGCTATGCTTCAAAATCCTCACTTCTCCAGTTTTGCGATGGATGTTCTCAGACCAATTCATAGGTAAAGGGTAAAGGGGACCCCTGACCGTTAGGTCCAGTCGTGGCCGACTCTGGGGTGGCCGACTCTGGGGTTGCATCTCGCTTTATTGGCCGAGGGAGCCGGTGTACAGCTTCCGGGTCATGTAGCCAGCATGACTAAGCCGCTTCTGGCAAACCAGAGCAGCGCACTGAAACACTGTTCACCTTCCCGCCGGAGCGGTGCCTATTTATCTACTTGCACTGGTGTGCTTTCGAACTGCTAAGTTGGCAGGAGCTGGGACAGAGCAACGGGAACTCGCTCTGTCACGGGGATTCGAACCGCCAACCTTCTGATCAGCAAGCCCAAGAGGCGCAGTGGTTTAGACCACAGTACCACCCGCTTCTGAATACCAGTTGCTGGAAACTCAAGGAGGGTGAGTTTACTCCAGTTCTTGCTTGAATGCTTTCTCTAGGCATCCCACAGCTGGCACAAACGATGCATAATCATCGCATTAGCTTCCCATATACTTTTGCCCTAAAATATAAATCTGCCCACTCCCTGAGATCAGTGAGTTCCATTCTGTAGACATTTGGAAGAGGTCCTTAGCAGTAATGGCATCTTTCTTTCTGGAGCAGCCTTCTTTCTGAGATTAGGGGTGAGCAAACTGTACTATCATTTTGCTGCATGCTTAAAGTGAATTTGCTTAAGCAGGCAATTCCTGACCAGTAATATTACTGTCAGATTGAATATCGTATTATTTATGCATCACTGTTTTATGATTTCACATTGATTTATTGCCTTTATCGTGCTGTAATTTTATTATGTTACATTGTACTTCGTGTTGGTTATTTGTCTTCAGTACTGTTATGAGTCTTCAGGGGGCCTAAAATCCCTGGGTGCCAGGTTCTCCCCGTAATCTCTGCAATTAGTAAATCATAGAATCACAAAACTGTAGAGTTGGAAGGGACCCTAAGGATCATCTACTCCAGGGGTCAGCAGACTAAGGCAACCCCTGCCACCGCCCGCTCTTACGGACGCGGTGCAGTGTGGTGCAGGGACCGACTTCCGGGTTGATGGCGCCTGTGCGCATGTGCATGGGTGCTCCTACGACCCGGATGTGCACCAGAAATAGCGTGTGTGCACGCATGCAGGACTGAGAAGTGCCCGTGCTCATGCATACATGCTATTTCCGGCGCACTTCCAGGTCAGAGGAGCACCAGAAATAGCGTGTCCGCATGGGCACGGGTGCTCCTCTGACCTGGAAGAGTGCACATGCACACACGCTCCGGCCCACCCTCCGATGGACAGAGCGTCGATCGGCCCATCGTTTGGTAAGCTTGCTGACCCCTGATCTACTCCAACCCTCTGCAATGCAGGAATATGCAGCTGTCCCTTGCAGGGATTGAACCTGCAACCTGGGCGTTATCAGCACCATGCACTAACCAACTAAGCTATCTAGGCTGACATGTAGTAGTAATAATAATAATAATTTTTTATTTATATCCCGCCCTCCCCAGCCAGAACCAGGCTCAGAGCGGCTAACAACAATAAAAGTAACACAATCTACATAAAATCACAATCAATTAATTAAAATAAATTCTAAAATCAATTCATTCTCTAATCAATTCAGAATCAAATTAATGGCAACCATTGGGCTACAGTTTTATGAGGATTGCCAAAGGAGGGGCTCAGACTGTGCCTTGGCCAAAGGCCTGGTGGAACAGCTCTGTCTTGCAGGCCCTGCGGAAAGATGTCAATTCCCGCAGGGCCCTAGTCTCTTGTGACAGAGCATTCCACCAGATCGGGGCCACAGCCGAAAAAGCCCTGGCTCTGGTTGAGGCCAGCCTAACCTCCCTGTGGCCTGGGACCTCCAAGATGTTTTTGTTTGAAGACCGTAAGGTCCTCCGTGGGACATACCAGGAGAGGCAGTCCCATAGGTACGAGGGTCCTAGGCCATATGGGGCTTTAAAGGTTAAAACCAGCACCTAAAACCTGATCCTGTACTCCATCGGCAGCCAGTGCAACTGGTATAGCACTGGGTGAATGTGATCCCACGGTGAGGACCCGGTAAGGAGTCTCGCCACAGCATTCTGCACCCACTGGAGTTCCTGGGTCAGTCTCAAGGGCAGCCCCACGTAGAGTGAGTTACAATGTGGGGTTTTCGGACAAGGCAGCTTCTTCATGAGCTTGACTTAGAGAGGTGCCACCAAAGAATAAAGACAGGTGATGGCAGAGTCATTACCCTGAGTAAAGGTGAGACATTCAGCATCAGACAAGAAAGGAGGAGACTGCTAGGATTACAGTGGGTGTGATGTCACAAGAGAAAAAGTCCTTTCTGTAGGAAGCTTCTGAGATGGAGGGTGACAGGGGGAGGAGATGCTCTCTGCAAAGGCTTATGGGAAGAAGAAGAAGAAGAAGAAGAAGAAGAAGAAGAAGAAGAAGAAGAAGAAGAAAGTAGGCAGACCTCTATAGTGGCTGGAGGAGGCTGCACTGAGAAACCAGGGACCATGACTGGCTGCTGCTATGGACCCCAGCTTGCTGAAGCTATGAGAACAACAACAAGGGACATAGGGACATATTGGGGTGTAATATTCTGCGCTGGCATCACTGAAAGCTTTAGGTGCAAATACGTGTAAAATAAACCATCTTTCTTAAAGACACTAGTCTCCAGTGTGCCTTGATTTCCCAACAGAAACACAAACTCTTGAGCAGGGGTCAGCAAACTTTTTCAGCCGGGGGCCATTTTTTGGGGGGGGGGATTGAACGAATTCCTATGGCTCCACAAATAACCCAGAGATGCATTTTAAATAAAAGCATACATTCTACTCATGTAAAAACATGCTGATTCCTGGACCATCCGTGGGCCGGATTTAGAAGGCAATTGGGCCTGATCCGGCCCCCGGGCCTTAGGTTGCCTACCCATGCTCTTGAGTGAATGCCTGGAACCCCCTGGAATATGTTTTATATATGCTGGAAGCTGCCCAGAGTGGCTGGGGCAACCTGATCAGATGGACGGGATACAAATAATGACATTTATTATTATTAATAGTAGTATTACTATTACTACTACCACTATCGCTTGACAGAGATTCAGAGTGGCATGTAACAATATAAAGCAGTATGAATATGCTTCTAAATAAATGTATGCCTGGTCTTGCTTGGAGTTTAGATACTGGGGCAGAAACATTGGCTGGTAACAGAGTGGACCAGAGAGCAAAGGACAACATGGCTCCTCGCCTCATTCCATGTACAAAAGCCAAGCAGACTGGCAACTTAATCTTACTTCAACACTTGCAGCAGAACAGTACCTGCCACTCTACCCGAGGGCACGGGCCAGCTTAGGGGGCACAGGGTATGGCACAAATAGCACTGTCCGCCCCTTTTTCCTCAGCATCGGTCACCTGAGGCAGTTGCCTCGTTCTGCCTCACGGTAGGGGTGACCCTGCCTGGTTGCTTTGGGGGAAATAGCAGAAATCAAAGGGATGCAGAAACACCGAGAATTTTGGGTATATATTTTCCCCTGCTTCCAGCTCTGGAGGCATAACCGCATTACCTTGAATTATTCTGCTGGAGAGGGGCATGCAACTCTCAAGATCAATTTTAATTTGATCTCGCTCAGTGTAGAGCTGCCAGATAATCCTACTCGAATTATTGTTCTACAGCTTCCCAGTATCTAAGGTGAAAGCATCACCAAGGGTTTTGATCAATTTACAGGATGCAACCTTTTCCTCTGCAGTGCTTCTTTTTATTTATTTTAAAGAAAAGCCAAAAAAAGGGGGGGGAGTACAAGGCATAACAAGGTTTTATTTACCCCCTAACAGTCACAGCCATTTCAGTGCCAGAACTCGATTGAGAGCAGCTTCAGATTTTACTCAGGACATGTGGGAGGAGAAAGATTTATTGAGAGCTGTTAGGCAGTGAGAGAGTGGTACAAAATTAATAAATATGATGCCAAATCTCGGAATTGCCAGATGAAATTGGGTGTAAGGTTGAAAGAGACAACAGAAAGTAGATCTTCACAGAACCCGTCCTACTCTATCTATTCACTACTAACATACTATTCCCCAACTGTCTATGCCAAAATCACACCATCCATACCCAAGAGAGATGTATCAGCAAGCAAGGAATGATGTATCCACAGACAGATGCATGGATTCCCAAACTTGGGTATTCAGCTGTTTTTGGACTACAGTTCCAATAATAATAATAATAAAAATTAAAAAATAAAAATAATTTTTTATTTATACCCCGCCCTCCCCAGCCAAGACCAGGCTCAGGGCTTCTAACACTGAATATAAATACAGTAAAAACATTAAAAACAAAACAACAACAAAAACAACAACAGTTGATTAAAATGTAAGCTAGAATACAGTTTAAAATGCAGCTTAAAATGCAGCCTTGTTTTAGTGGTAGCCCATAGATCAAAGCCATAAGGGGCCAACTATCCATGCTGGTCCTACATGGGCCAGCAAAAAGAGCTGAGGGAAAAATTATATACAAATCCCATATAAGTGGTTCCATCAAAAGAAATAATTAAATGGGGGGGGGGGGGTTAGACTGAGTCCAGCCCAAAGGCCAGGTGGAACAGCTCCGTCTTGCAGGCCCTGGGAAAAGATGTCAAATCCCGCAGGGCCCTGATTTCCTGCAGCAGGGTGTTCCACCAGGCCGGGGCCAGAGCTGAAAAGGCCCTGGCCCTGGTTAAGGCCAATCTAACCTCCTTGGGGCTCAGGACTTCCAAAGTGTTGTTATTTATGGACCTTAAGGTCCTCCGCGGGGCATACCAGGAGAGGTGGTCCTGTAGATGCGAGTAAAGAAAGAAAGGTGCAGAAGAAAGCTTTTGAAGCTCCCAAACGATCAACCAGGAGGGAGGGAACATGCCAGTCTGGCATGTGTCTCTGCCAGGGTCCTACTCAAGAGTAGGACGAGCTCCTGACATCCTCACAGTGGCCAACCAAGTAGGACTTGAGTGAAACAACAGTCTCTCCATTTATGATTCCCAGCAAGGACTACAGATAAGTTCATCCTTCCAGTAGACTGGCTCCAAGCTGTCTACTCCAAGATGTAAACTAATTCCTGAATTAATAATCCATCTAATCTGAATTTGAAAGAAGTGACCATGTTTCCTAAAATCCTCTTTAATTTCAGCTTCTTTTCCTCCCTTTTTTTTAAGTAATAAAGGGGAAGATATCACCAAATAAAGTTTTTTAAGGGTGAGCCTAAAAAGTCTCTATGTGTTTCTCACCATAGAGGGAATACTTTTTCAAAAACTTTCCTTGACTTCATTTAAAGTAAGAAAACTGGATCTTGACTACAGCTGCTCTCAAAGTTTTCATCCTGAAACACCAGGGGCAGAAGGTCAAGTGTTCTGATAAAAATTTCCAAGCATGCCTTCAGGTGTTTGTTCATCCGTTTGCCTTTCTAATGAAAAGTGCCTTAAAGCAGTACAAGCAGTGCTTCTCCCTCGAGGGCCACTTTTGCTTAACCTTTTCCTTTGGAGCAATGTGAAAACCCAATAGGGAGCAGCTTACAAAACTCAGAACTAGCACTCGCCTTAATTTTAAAGCGCATGCATGTAAAATCTCAATATATCCAGTTTCTGACATTCCATAACATATGACCAAAGAGAAATTATGTTAGGGAGCACAATGTAGATTAAAAGAAATGAGGCTAGGAACGCAAAGGAGAGCCCTGCTGGATCAAACCAGAGGCCTAGATTGGTGGCATCCGTCCATCTCAACAGACAATGGAGTGTGCCTTTGGTTAAACTGCTGCATCAGCAGCACCAAAGTCAACTCCCCTGGGTGCAAGCCTGGGCAGTGGTGTATGGAGGTCCTGGGCTGCTCAGATAACAAGACACACACACACCCCTCGGCTTCGCTGATGTGGTCTGAAGGAAAGCAGAGCAATATGTTTGACACCAGCTTGGCTCCAGGAGTTGCTGGAAGGATGTACACAAGGCATCATCCAGCCGTCTTAGGGCCTCCACTCTCAATTTGTGTAGGCTTTATTTCTTTGCCTTTTCTTCTCCTGAAGATGTCGCGCAAGGCAGTAAAGGTTTAGGACCAGAGTTTTCCTTCTCCTAGATGGGGTACCTTCCCAGGTTGATGAGCCTCATCTGCCCCTCACTTCCCTCTACAGCATGTGCACAAACCACCTTCTTGATGGTTGGACCCACTACTGGTCTTGTTCACTCGATCCACCAGACCCTGTCTTCACATGCAGAGGATGTCCTTAACTTACTGAGCGTTTGAGACCGATGGACAACCATCACCTGATTTAGCCGGCCAGTTGAAGTCATTCCCAAGGTGTGGCTCCTGTCGCATGCAAACAGCTTCTAGGAGCCACAGGTGAGAGATGAGTGCAGGGTGGAGATCAAAGGTGGACAAACCACCCCAGAAGGAACACAATGTGTCCCCATCAGAGGAACAACTACCCCTTCCCTAAGACCCCATACACCCATGAGGCCTAGTCAACAATCTTGTTTCCCACAATAGCCAATCAAACATCTACAGAAAGCTCACAAATAGGATGTGAGGGCAATAGCCCTCTGCTGCTGATGTTCCCAACAATGTAATTCAGACCCCTCTGAGCATAGAGTTGCCATGCAAATGAATTCTACCCAATTGTTGACTTCACCCCCAAAGGTGCACTCCTCCATTGTCTCACAAGACAGATGGGTGCCAACAATGGTTGTCCTGTGTCATCTGAAAAACTGCAGGAGAGGAGAGTAGTCTTGTGTTGATATCCAGCTTCCAGCCTTCCCACAGGTATCTGACCAGCCACTGTGAGGACAGGATGTTGGGCTAGATGGGTCATTGACCTGATCCAGCTGGCTCTTACGTTCTTATTATGTTCTTATCAATTTGTCTCACCCATTTTAAAGCCATCAAAGATACTGCACCTCGTCACATCTTTTGGAAGTGAGTTAGCACAATAGGAAGCTGCCTTACACTGGTCCATGGTCCATCAGCTTAGCATGATCTGCACTGACTGGTAGAGGCTCTCCAGGATTTCAGATAGGAGACCTTCTCATTCTTACCTGGAGATGCCAGGGATTGAACCTGTGATCTTCTGCATGCGAAGCAGATGCTCTACCACTGAATAATAATAGCTGAGGATTTGTTGTGTTGGCTTGTAACCAATGCAGTGCTAAGTAAACATTGCATCAACACAAGGATTCCCAGTTCCACAGTAGGAGAACTAACAGTTACTCTGGCTCTTTTATGTATATGGCTGAAAACTTGATTTCTTGCTGGCTAAGATCACAAGGGACACCACACCAGAAAGCCCCTGAGATTCATTAGCAATCCAGATAGACAACGCTGGGCTTGATCGACTATTAATCCAACTGCATCTAGCTGCTCCTTCAGCAAGTTGCTCAATGGCATTTGGTCCTTTCCAACATGATAGAATTCTCCAATTCTTTGAAGCTATCCTTCCTCATCCTATGGGAGCAAGCCCTTTTTGAATGCCAACTGCCCGGGGGCAAGAGGCAAAGCTGTAAGCATCATTAATCTTCAAGCAGTTCGCCCATAGGCTAAATTCATCCTGGCTTGAAAGAACAGGGAGGTCATTCAAGCCGCTCTTCATCCTGCTTTGACAAGGGCAAGAAGCAGGAAGACTGAACTCTAACCCGCCTGAAGTTTGATGCTCAAAAACCATGCCAAGGAGCCAAGTTGGAGCTGTGAAGCATCCCCATGGGGAATCTCCTTTAGCTTCCTTCAAAAACCCGCTGGTTTTATTTCTGTCCAAAGCATTTATATCCCACTTCTTTTTTTGATTGTCTGCAGCAGCTCATTAAGTGTTTATTTATGCCATTTCTTTCCTCCACTGAAATTTGGAAGGGATGTAGCTCACTGGCTTTGCATGCGGGAAGTCCCAAGTTCAATCCCCAGCATCTCCAGGCAGGCCAGGCAGAGACCCCTGCCAATGTTGGCTGGTGCTTATTGCGACTCACTGGGAAGAAGGCAGGGAAAGCTACAGTAGAAGGAGGCAGAATGATGACAAGCAGAGCCACCCACTGATTGTTGTTGTTTAGTCGTTTAGTCGTGTCCGACTCTTCGTGACCCCATGGACCAGAGCACCCCAGGCACTCCTGTCTTCCTTTGCCTCCTTCAGTTTGGTCAAACTCATGCTGGTAGCTTCGAGAACACTGTCCAACCATCTTGTCCTCTGTCGTCCCCTTCTCCTTGTGCCCTCCATCTTTCCCAACATCAGGGTCTTTTCCAGGGAGTCTTCTCTTCTCATCAGGTGGCCAAAGTATTGGAGCCTCAGCTTCAGGATCTGTCCTTCCAGTGAGCACTCAGGGCTGATTTCCTTAAGAATGGATAGGTTTGATCTTCTTGCAGTCCATGGGACTCTCAAGAGTCTCCTCCAGCACCATAATTCAACAGCATCAATTCTTCGGTGATCAGCCTTCTTTATGGTCCAGCTCTGACTTCCATACATCACTACTGGGAAAACCATAGCTTTAACTATACGGACCTTTGTTGGCAAGGTGATGTCTCTGCTTTTTAGGATGCTGTTCCACTGATTGGTTATAGGTTTAAAAAAAAGTAGGTGGGACCTGGCTAAGATTCTTGAGGCCTTTCACCTGAATGGACCAGCCTCCGCCTCCAACACTACAGCTCCCATTATCCCTGACTATTGGCTGTGCTAGGTGGAACTAATGGGAGTTGGAGTCCAACCATATCTGGTGTGGAAATCTGGGCTAGCTGCCTTAGCGTAGGGCACTTCTATTCATAACTCCAACTGCTGCTTTCCCCCCAAAAATTCCTGAGATCTGTTTACAGCTTAGCCCATTGTGTGTTTTGTTTTGTTTGATTATTACATTTATATACCCCCTTTTCCTCCAACGAGCTCGAACTGGTGGACATGGTTCCCTGCTTCCCCCATTTTGTCTTCACAACAACCCTGTGAGGTAAAAAAAGCCTGAGAAACAGCAAGTGTCCCAAGGTCAGCTAGCGAACTTCATGGCCAGGTGGGGATTCGAACCCTGATCTCCCAGGTCACATTTCAACACTCTAACCATTACACCACTCTGGCTTTCTGGCTTATTCTGCTGCATTTATTAAAATAAACAAGTAACCGTTTAACACCAGTAGAGTTAAACCCCATCGGCGTTAAGGGGGAAATGGTTGCTGTTTTTAACCTGCATAAAGTTACACCGTTTACAATACAGGCACACAATATAGCTGAAGTGTCAAAGTCAGGCCTTCCGTGGCCACCAAAATGAATGCCAATTGCGCAAGGAGCTTCAAACAAGCGCCCAGAGTGTGAAGAAAGGTGCATCTCATCTTGCTCCACAAAATCTCCATTGAACCTTTTGACTCCTCACTTTCGACTGATGCTGTGCCGTTGGCAGCATAAAAATGGAGGTCATCCCGATTTCACTTGAGCTTCTTGACATTTCAGCTCGTGGCGGGGTGTCCTCTACTTTCAAACTTACTCCCCCCACCCTCTCTCTCTGTTTCTCTTGCATCACACACAAATCTCTTTTTACATAATGTATAAGTACAAAGAAATCAAAGCTTGAAATGGATAGAAGGATGCTGATCTCTACACGGTGACAGTTTGGATACAGGCTGGCTTAGACATTGCACACCAAGCCACTTAGTGATGGCTGAACAGTCCTCCGCCGGGTTCAGAATCGGCTCAGTAATTCCAAACTTTTTCAGAGAACCTTCAGAATAAGAAGGGAAAGTTCTGTTTTCAGAGAGTTCCCTCCCAACTCATCCAGTGCTTTACCAACTGCACTGGCTCCCGGTGGTGTACAGGGTCAGGTTTAAGGTGCTGGTTTTGACCTTTAAAGCCCTATGCGGCCTAGGACCCACATACCTACGGCACTGCCTCTCCTGGTATGCGCCGCGGAGGACCTTAAGGTCCACAAATGACAACATTTTGGAGGTCCCAGGTCGCAAGGTGGTTAGATTGGTCTCAACTAGGGCCAGGGCCTTTTCAGTACTGGCCCCGACTTGGTGGAATGCTCTGTCACAAGAGACTAGGTCTCTGCAGGATTTGACATCTTTCTGCAGGGCCTGCAAGACACCTGGCTTTTGGTTTGGACTCAGTCTGACCTTAATGTTTCCCTCCCCTTATGGTTTTGATCTATGGGCTACTTTTAAAAAGAGGCTGCATTTTAAATTGCATTTTAACCTGTATTTTAAATTGTTGGTTTTTTTACCCTATTAGATTTTACTGTAATTTTACTAGTGCTAGCTGCCCTGAGCCCGGCTCTGGCCGGGGAGGGTGGGATATAAATAAAAATTATTTATTTATTTATTATTATTATTATTATTATTATTATTATTATTATTATTAACGTTGGAGCCTGCATCCTGCTGATGCTGCGTGCAGGTGTCTTATCCTATTGCCTTCTGGGAAATGTAGTTTCCAGCACCAGTATCACCTGTAGTCTGATGAGCTGTCGGACAACCCAAGTAGTCAGGACTGAAGAGTAAGGCTGCTTCCAAACCGAGACTGTTTAGACCTGCCCACTCATTGGTCTCATACGGTGAGCTGCGTAATTTTCTGCACTCAGCAGATAAATAGAAACATAGAATTGCAAAGTTGAAAGGGACCCAAAAGGTAATCTGGTCCAACTCCCAGCAGTGCAGAAATCAACACATTCTCCTCTCCTGTCATACCAATTTTCACTCACTTTTTATGGGGCAAAGAGTGGGGTTTTCACCTTACCTCATTGGTGCCAAGGGTGTACATATTGAGAATTCAATTCCACCTTGAGGGACAGACGTGTGGAATTGTTGCAAGTCACATGTCTGTTTACATTCCAGCACAGTATGCTGGGAACTTCCGTTTGTGTATAGTTTGTTGTTTTTGCTTTGGACACGAAGGAGATCAGACATGTTTTCCTTTTGTCCTGATCTACGCTGAATAAACCTGCTTGTCAATATGCTCGCACAGCCTCTCGTGCCACTTCTGTTTGCGCAGTGTTTTCTCTGCTGAATAGCGTGCTCAGTCTTCTGAAGCCTGGGCCGCAGATTTATGCAGCACCAAGGACTGGAGTTTGCTTGGCACACCGGCCGGTGGGCTGGAGCCAGCTGGGGGCCTGCCAATTGCCCCCGTTTCCTTGGTTGCATGCCAACAGTATATCCCTGCATGTTGCAATGGCATCTGTAAGCCACCCAGAGTGGCTGGGGAAACCCAGCCAGTTGGGTGGGGTATATATAATAAAATTATGGTTATGATTATCATCACAGCACATGGATGCAAAATGTATTTGTGCATGTGCAGTAAGGTCACTGCATCTAGAATGAGAATTCAACAATGCAGGGCCCCGGTGCATTTTTGTGTACTGTGGTTCAGTTCTTCCATGGATGGAATCACATCTTCATCACCATATCCTACCTCTGCTGGATTTTCTATGGCACCTCTGGGCAGATACAGTTAGAGCACATCCAACACCCATGACTCCCCCCACCCCCGCCAAGTGTTAGTTTCTGTTTCTCACTGAGCAGCTGCTGGGAGTCACAGGACTCTGTTTACATTCCAGAGACCTTGCAGTCTCATGGGAAAGGGAGATGGGATGTGACGTTAGTAGTCTCCTGTTTCCTTTGTTCCTTTGTTCCTTTGTTCAGTTGCTCTCTGCTCTCACAGGGAGAGGATGCATATTTCTTTGCTCTCTGCGTAGCTAGAAAATAAAGCATAGCAATGTGGCTCATACTATCTCATCCTTCAGCGTTCTGTTTTGATGTTCTGCTGGGACGACGGGCCTGAGGCCTTATCAAAGGATCAGGTCGTCAATTAATCGTCAGGAGGCAATTCCGAAGATGAGCCTTATCAGCTCGGTCGAACGGAGATTCTGACACCAAGAACCCTGGGAACTGCTGTTTCCTATCATAGAGCTACAACTACCAGCACCCTTCACAAACTACAGTTCCCAGGATTCTAGGGGGGAAGCAATGTGCTTTAAATGTGCATAAGATGTATTTAAATTTGTAGGGGGATCTGCCATCTGACAGCAATAATGATAAGCGAGGCTAAGATTTTGCTCCGGCGTCATGAAGAATGTTTTTTTTTTCTATTATGCTTTGACACTACATAAATTCCTTTGAAACAAACATTATTTCGATATTTACAGCATGCCAACTGA